GGCACCCCACATTTTCAAACCATGTTTCCTCTCAGAAATAACAGCAGGTTGGCTAAGCATCCTGGAAGCCAAAGAAGGAAAGACTTCCTAGGAAGCAATGGGTGGTCAACAGAGCTAAACACCGCAGAGACCAAGGAGGCTCAGGGCTGACAGAAACCCTTGGAATTGGTCAGGAGATAACAGATGAGGCCTTACAGAGAAACAAATATTACCCCAAATTTACTAACGGTTATTTTTCCATTTAAAATCAGTTTAACTTTCTTGTAGAAGTTACCACTTAATGTTATGTCAAGCTTTTTTTGTTTTTCGTTGTTTTTTTTTTTTTTTTTGCCTTTTAAAGGGTAATGCTGATGATCTCATTCTTACCTTCTATTATCCAATTTAGAGTTTCCAGTTTGTGGATGATTTTAAATTCATACTTTCCTTTCCTTTTCATATAACCAGTGTTGTGTCAATTTCATGGTTAAAAAAAAAAAAAAGATAAGTTAGGGGTGGGGAGAACTATTTATTAGCAGCCAGGATTTAATGTTAAAAGTGAATGTTTGGGAATTTCCATGATTCTTGGGAGTATTTTTTAAAATTAACTACTGTAGTTACCAAAAAAAAAAACAAACTCATTGCTAACAAGTTGATTCTGACTCATAGCTACCCTACAGGACAGAGTAGAACAGTCCCATTGGGTCTCCAAGGAGCAGCTGGTGGATTCGAACTGCTGACCTTTTGGTTAGCAGCCTGAGCTCTTAACCACTGTGCCACCAGGGCTATTTGCATTCACATTTTCTAGAAATGTGAATGCATATTCAGATTTTTTAAGTACATCATTGGAGTACAAAAATGAGTAAGACACATTATTGCCCTCACCCTTTCTGGTGAGGAAAAGATAATAGTTAATTTTAACTGAATACAGTAAGCAACTCAAGTGAGGTATGTTGTTGTTGTTAGGTGCCATCGAGTTGGTTCCGACTCACAGGAACCCTATGTACAACAGAACGAAAAACTGCCCAGTCCTGCACCATCCTCACAATCGTTGCTATGTTTGAGCCCATTGTTGCAGCCACTGTGTCAATCCATCTCATC